CATGCGATTCATTTATTATTAATTCATTCCATTTATATTTATATGCGTCTCCTGTAAAGCAGCGTGAAATTCATCTGTTTTTATTACCAAAGTGGAAGAAAACAAAAATTAGAAATGGCTTCTTTCCAAACTGTTAAAACTTTGAGGCCCAGAACAAGTGCAAGCAGGTTTCCTCTAAAGTCTCATGACTCACATTTCCCCTCCTGCACATTGAAGCTCCATTAATATAAACTTCACTGCTGGGTTTGCACGCCAGCAGCCATGAGGTCATGGACACACGCCCCGTCCAGAGGGCCGGGCCGGGTCGGGCCGGGCGGTCCAAGGGCAGCGGTGTCGGCTGACTCTCAAAAACTGCAGAGTCATGCTTACACAGACAAATGCAGACAAGTGAGAACAGAACGTGTGAAAAAAGAAACGAGGAAAAATTTTTTACTTCGACAGCAGAGCATAAGAGAAGCATAAAAAAGTGGAAGGAAAGAAGAAGAATGAGGAAAAGAGGATGGGCTGGGAGAGATAAAAAGAGGTTACGTAAGTGCAAAGGAGAAGCTGGCAGGGAGCCCAGACACGAGTGGGTCTCAGCGCCAAAGTCACTCAGGACTACGTGCCGCTCCTGCAGCCCCACCGCCCTGACTGGGTTCGTTAGTTTACTCCCAGAAACACTGACTAACGTATTTACAGCATCGCTTTCCACTCTTTATCCTGCAACAAAATACAAATTCAGCTCTTTAGTTTCAGTTTAAAGTAAGATACTATCCGAATGGTTGCTAACTGTAACCAGAAGCCAGTTACAAACTAAAAGCAAACCCTTTTCTCCAGCATTGCAAACAATCCACAAACTCATCTTGAAAACGCCTTTGGCTGTTTATCTTTCGCCTTCAGGTATGCACTCTTGGCTGCAGCGTTTAGGAGATAAAAAACGGCGGCTTTGTACAACAATGAGAAAAAAAAGACTATCCAGTCAAAGCTGATCATCACAAGAGATATTCGTGACAAGATCCAGGTTCGATTTTATCTGTGATGGAACAGGAAGATCCTTTCATTGTTAGCAAATCAACTCAACTCTCAATTTAATTTCTTTTGTTGCTCCATCTGCCTCCTTTGGACACTGAAAAATGTTCTCACCACGAAAATAATTTTTGTAAAAACCTTTCATAGAGCTAATCTAGGGCAATAATTTCAAAGTTTTGGTTTTTAAGGTTTAATTTATGTCATTTCCTTTTCAGAGAAGAGAGAGAGCAAAATAAAAAGAACTAAATTAAAATCAGAAATTTGATTTGGAATGAAAAGAAAAGCAACAGAATATTGGAGATTTATTAGCCACATTCCCCAGGCTTTAGCCAATTATCTCCATTTGACTCATTGTGCTAGCACCAATTGGCTGGACCTCTGTTGAATTAGCTCAGTCACTTTAAAAAGGCACTTTTTGTCCTTTTGTAGGAATCAGTTTTCACTTTTACAATAAAGGACTTTTTGGGGGAAAATTTTGTCAAAAAATGTTATTACGATTGCGTAGTAAACACAAAACGGGGATGCATCGATTTGAAAGTTTGGGTCAATTCCTGTATCTGATTTTGATTTTGATTAAATTGAGTTAGATGATTTTCATCCTGATGATTTCATTATCCACTTTATTGGTGGTTTTGGTTGCATTTAGTTTTATTTTAGATATTTGAAACATCTCCAAGGTAAGAGTTTACAAAATCAAAGTTTATTGGTGTTGGAGAGCAAACTTGCATTACTATGCTATTATTAATACATTACTTGAAAATGGTCTCCAAAAAGCAATATTATTTATTATCACAATAATTTTTGGGACAATTTATCATCCAGCAAAATGTGTTATTGTGACAGGCCTGTTTGGGGGTGAATACTTTTAACAAGGTTTGTATAAAATACGTAAAATTGGATCCAGTTGGGTTAAAATTATTATAAAGTTCCTTTACATAATGCGCTCAGGCACCAGGTTGTCTTTCTGATTGTAGAGGAAATATGCAAACTTTTTCTCTTCACTCAAAGCAACAGAAAACACCTGGACGTTAAACAGGTTTTCCTCCCAAAAATCAAACCTTCTCGTCCGTTTTGCTGCACGGACAAACACACAAACATCGAAGCCGACCCAACCCTGAGCCTGTAATTATCAAAAAGTCAAAGGTCACCCTTCTGCAGGCGCCTTGGATCAGTGGTGACACGGCAGAAACCCGACACCGCTCCATGCAGGAAGTAGGCGTGTAACGTGAGAAGATAATGAAAATGTTACCGGATGGTTATGTAACCTCTAATCAGTACAATGAAGCACCTGCTTTAAATATGACTGAATGTGCAGGTAGGGAATGTTTGGCATTTAAAAAAAAGAAAAAAAAGCTAATTGTCTCTTTAACTGTCCTGGTGTTTTTTATATCAAGTCCTTAGATTATTTTTTTAAGTTAACACTAAGAGTCAAACCAGATAAATAATATTTATGAATATGAATAATAATTTTATACTTTAATAACAATGAAGCAGATCTGTTTTTGACCTTTTCGGCTTTCAATCTCCATCATTCTGGATCAGGAAGAGTCTGAGCTACAGCAAGAGTAAATGTGTTTTCACACCTGATAGTCAAGTTTGATTGGGACCAAAATTGAAACATTTGTTACATTTCCAGCTGCTGTGATTTTCTTCCACGCACTGCACCAATAACCACTAAGAGAAACGTCACAAAAACTTCCAAAGAAGACATTTGTTTACATTTCTTCTTCAAGAAAAGGAAATAAAAATGGAGTAGAATCAGATTTTAGCGGTTGGAGGATTTCTCTTATGACCACAAGCCATTTTTTTCCGCTAGTGCTGGACTCGCATATTTATTTTGGTTGTATTTACCCAAATTGCCCTGCACTATAGTCTACTTCCTGCTTTTGGAGTGATTTCTGGTCCGCTTGGCATTCACAAATGGATTCAAACCGCACCACAGTTCACTTCAACCGAACCCAGACTGAGGTTTGTAGGTGAATCAGAGTTAGCTTTTTTCAGAGTACGATTAGTGTTCACATCTCCCCAAACTTTCAAAGCAAATTGACTTGAGTTCCGTTAAAGCGAACTAAACAGGGCTGGTGTGAATCAACACACAGAGATTCCTGTTTTAGTGATGCATCTTACAATGAGATACAATGTTTTTAACATACAAAAACTAAATCAAAAGTGGAATAATGAAGACAAAAACAAGCCAAAAATTTTATAGGTAGTTGGAGGACTTCTCTTTTGTCTTTAGTTAATGAAGAAATTCAATTGGATCTGATTTTAGTTGCCAATGACAATTTATAGGGTTATAAGAGTCCAGCAGGAAAAGGTAGAGTTCGAAAAGCAAACCATGAACATGTGGGGACGTTTCTTAAAGTATGAGGAGCAACAACAACGAGCAGAAACAAGTTGTGTGAAATCACAGCAGTTATCTCCCAATTATTTATTTGTGTATCAATATTCAGCACTAAAAAGTTTCAAACTCGAACATCCAATAAAAACGTTTATTTTTAATGCAGAACCGGCCTGATTGCTGGCATGATGTGCAGTGTGTCATTAGAAATGTAAACACTTACTGATTTTGTTGGAAGCAGAGAAGGTTAGAGTTTAACAGCTACTGGGAGGAAGGATCTCCTATAACGCTCCTTTGTGCACCTTGGATGCACTGAAGGAGCTCCTACGTTACATAATTAATGCTGACTCACAGTAGAAAGGCTTAAAAATGTTTTTGAAAGGCTAGTCTCATTTCTGCAGAATTTAAAGAAAAAAATAAAATGTGAAAGTGGATGTGGCTTTCTCACACACTCAAAACTTCCAGCAGGATTTCCCCAAAACCTTGTTAATCTTCAGCTCTTCTGGAGCACTAAAGGAGTGTTTTAACTTTTAAATTAAATACCTCCAGGCAGAGTTGTTGTAAGCTCGCTGTGGACGCCTGCCAAGATGTGCAGGAGGTGTTGAGAAGCATGAAATGCATCAAACTCCTTCCCTTTCCCTGCAGACCTCATATAACCCAGTGGCTGTTTGGTCCATCTGCTCTAACCAGACGGCTAATGGGATTTCATTTATGAAGACCCAAGACCTGGTGGACCTGCTATACTCAAGGTTAAAGTGATCCAATTGTTGCAAAATGCAAAAACATTGTTTTGAAACACAAATTGCTAGAATGTTTGTGGGATTCTGCAGAACTCCTCCATGAATGAAAATAGAAAAAATGCTACTAAGCTTGTAGAAATCTGAGTTAACCCAGAAAAAAGAAGGAAAATGTTTGGACATTTACACCATCCTGCACTCAGTTTTCCTGGTGTGGCCTCCAACTGTGACAACAAGGACCGGCGGAGATAATAGATAATAGATGGAGAACAATGTCAGTTCTGTTGTTGCATTTTATATTTGGCTCCATAAACATGCAGCTGCTTGAGTATGGAAATCAGGTCAGAAAGGCAAACAAATATCAAGCTGAAAGGTTTCAGATTATTTTACTTCTTATTTTACTTCTCATACAGGCACACTAAAATCTTACTTATTCATGACTACATTAGGAATAAACCCTATAAATACCAATGTTATATTTAGTCTCTCAGCCCTAAACTGCTTGTCGCAACTTTTAATTGATAAAAACCTTTAAATCTGCGTTTTATAAGTAAGATTTGATGAAAAATAAACATTTAAGAGAAAAAACTAATCAGCAGATTAATAAACTGAAGTACATCTACAGAAAATATATCTGGATTAGTTACATTACATCTATGTAACAGAGTTTATGGGTCCTGGAAGTGAGCCAGCGGTGTGACTGGATACGTAACCCGAAGTGAGGACCACCCTCCCACCACACACACCCACTTATTGAGCCGGCCGGCCGGCGAGCTGCAGTGACCGCATCAATAAACGGTGTTAGCACCATGCGGACCCCTTTCGGTATAACCCAGGCTAACATCAACAGTCCCCTCTTCAATGGCTCCATAATCCAGCATTATTACGTCGCTATGACCCATGTGTTAGCTACCTGCCGGTGTAGCCTCGCACGCGACCAGATCGGCTGGGATAAACTTACCGATTCCTCCTTCTGGTTTAGATCCTCCACTGGGTCTAAGAACCGTTTTTATCTTCTTTAATTTGTTTTTTGTTCCCTTGGTTTCTCAGTCTGTCATGTCGCAGCTCTACGTCGGCCTTTCATTCAGCTCTTCCTTACTAACTCCACCCTTCGGTTCTTAGCCTGGAGTCTCACATTCACATATATATAGTTCTAGTGCAGCCTGACCCACCAGCCAATCAACGGAGACCCTCCGCCCCCAAGCCAATCAGAAAAAGGCATGGATGAACACTTATGAAAAACCGCGTCGTCGTAAGAAAAAGATCGTTTATGGATGCGAGATGCTCGACTGTCAGTTTGATAGTTTCAGATAAAAGTTATTTGAAAAGATTTTATTGCTCAACGATTATACTTAGATTAATCTTTTTGTGATAGGCTGCACAATGCTTACATACTAACGCGATTTTTTTCCCTATTTGTTCTATTTTTTTTTAAAGTTAAGCACCACTGTACAGATAAAAACCAGCAGATAGTCCACAGCTTTCAGGAAGCCAAGCTCTCATCAGACGTGCTGTTTGCACATGTAGGTCAAGTACAGTTTAACCTGTCACTGCTACCAAGAGTTGTTCGTTCAGAAAATGCATGAAAAGCACACCTTAGACAGCTAAATGTTAAAATATCTAGTTGACCACAGTAAGAGGAAGTATTGCTAAATGAAGATTACTGAATAAACCAAAAGATAGCCGTCATACAATTTTGCTAATTTTTATGTTATTTGAAACAAAACTAGAAAAAAAAAACTGTTGCACCAACAAAACTGAACACAGTTGTCCATCCAAAATAAAAGTAGTGAGAGCAAACTCAGCAGCTCAAAGGTGAATTCATGAAATGAAGATTTATCCAGCAGGGAAGAAAAAACAGGGATGAAAGTCTGAGAGCAGCACGCTGGAGACTCAACAAACAGGCATTCTAACCTGGATTTTAAAAGTCTGGCTGTAATTCATCACATTATAGAGTCAAAACGTTTAACAAAAATTGTAATTTCAAATGCTAATAATGTGGAAGCATATAGATGGACTGTATTTCTGCTCTGATTCTTACTTAATCTGGCGAGTATCTGCCACAACTTCACTGACTCCGAATGTGCATGGAAAGGGTCAAAGATCTGGTGAGAGGAAGACTAAAGTCCAAACAACTGAAGTCCTTGGAAACAATTTCATTAGCAGATCGGTTTGAGAGCTTGTGATCTTGACAAATGCCAGAAGCTGAAACGTGTTAGCCTAATAACATTGTTTCCTAGTACTTCAGCTGTTGCTACAACCTTCCCTACTGAGACATTAATTAATCAACTCTGTTTAACCAGAATAGTCTACTGAACACCAAATGACTTGTGCAAGTCTCACTTTTTTCCACATAATCAGAGTCAGATTTACTCCCTCTGGATGACGCCCCTTATTCCTCTTAACCAAAGCTGAGCTGGCTGCCTTAAGGAAGAAGTCTATTTCAGCTGCTCGTGTCCAGCATCATTTTCCTTTAGTCATAAGTTATATCTCATGATCATTATTCCAATGTAGATGGAGTAGTCAGCTTTTTATTCACCATTACAGCACAAGCCCATTGCTAGGAGCCGAGCTAGCATTTTTCTTAATTTTGCCCATTCACTTGCTGTGTTGTCTGTGGTTCCATGCCGAGCATGGAACCACAGACTTTCTGAAGTCAGCCAATACTTCCTTTGTTTTGGTGTTGTTGGGATGACAACAGTTCCAGTTACCCCGGGTAACTGGAACTGAGTTATTATGAAGTTAACCAGACACATAAAACAGAATCTGAAGTACATAAAATACCAATGGGCTTTAAATGTCACTTTCCTTATAGAAAACGTTTAAACAATTTTTTTGCTTTTTCCCTCCCAAACTCAGTTTGCATTAGCTGAAAATCCAAATGCTCCATGAAAACCTGAATTAGTGGCTAAAAAGCCTAAAAGGATTATCTTGGTAATATTTTAATGTTGATTTTAGAGAAAAAAAACACCCCAAGACAGAGTGTAAATGTATGAGTTTTAACGAAATTTGTTGAAGTTATTTTCTGATATTTGAAAAGAAAACTTAAATCAAACATGTGATGTGAAGGTTTTAAATAAAGACTCACTCAGATTTTTTTCTGTCTCTTTATGAATCTCCTGCAAAGATAAATAGTTTAATTTCCTCTCATCAAAGACCCTCAGATCTCTCCTAAAACAAATAACTCAGGTCAAATAAACGGTTTACTGATCCAGAACTGAAATCACAGAAAGGTCATTCTATCTGCAGCCATCAGCATTTACATAGACTTTTACCTCAAACACGGCTGCCGAAGATCTGTTACATCACACTTATAACGTGGCTAACGTGCCATAATGGAGAAGTATTATGCAACCTGTCATTAGGTCTTTGTATTGTTTATTTTTGACGGATTATTTTACCGCTATCCTTCTTTTCTCTGACTTTACATGTTGGCACCGTGGATCAAATCAAAATGAATGGGTTCATGGTCACTACAAGAAGCCATGATGCAAACATATAATGTCGACACACATCCTAGAACAAGTCATCCTGATTTAACTGAAACTCCCTAAACTTAGAACAGTTTAATGGCTCATAATTTTACTAAATCCCAGATATTGTATTTCTTATAAGAATGAATGAGATCTACCCTAATAGATGGGAGTTACTGAGAAAAGAAGAAACAGAAAAACCTCATTTCTGTTCAAAATAATCCGTCAGCAGAGCATCAGCGCCTCTGGTCTGGATATTAGTTACTTTCTTTTAGTCATGAGGTGACTGTGTGACGTGCATCTCATGAATCCTACATAGTTCAGATTCCATTCAGGAAAAAAAACATGGCTTTTCTTCTGTTTCTGTGATCAGGCAAGCCATTTGATCAGAGCAGATAGAAAATCAGCTTGGAACATCTTGTCTTCGAGAACGACAGATATACACGCCTGCATCCAAACGTCTAACGTTTAAAATGGTTCATCAAGTTTAAATTAACGTATAAAATGGTTCATAGAGTTTAAAATAATGTTTAAAATGGTTCATAGAGTTTAAATTAACGTATAAAACGGTTTGAGTTCTGGATCTTTTTATTTAGTTTGTATTCAACAGGCGTCATTCTAGACAGATAATTTTACTAGTCTTTGCAGTATTGTATCTATGTAACCGTTATTTAACCAAGTCTGGCTCAGTGAGATTAAAAAGTTTTTCAAGACCACAGTGACAATTACAAATCAAAACCCAATTAAAATACCATTCAGATAATAAAGGAAGAAAATTAACAAGGAGCAAACAGTCATAAAGGTAAAAAAAATATTAAAAACAAATAAAAAAGCTGGTCTGAAACCAGATACTTTCAGCCCTTTCCAAAACCAGATTGCTAATCCCAAATTAGCTGCTTTAAAGTCCTTGACTGTTTTATAAAATATGTCTGCAGGTTGGAGAAATCACACATCAGAGTGCACTCAAAACTTCTCATGTATTTACAGAAATTACAGCACATATGTTTCCTTTCTCAAACGTGGGATCAGTTTACATGCAAAATGCAAACCTGCTTATTTATTTACAGAAATCACTGGATATACAGCAGAGGTCAAAATAATTAGCCTCACTATGTAATGTCTTTTTTTTCCTCATTTATTTTTTTGTGAAAGAATTTAGTTCTGTGTGCAAACTGAATGTAAGCATCCAAAATAAAAACTAGGATGTTTGAAAAAACTGTACATTTTTTAAGAAAACTTAAAATGTAACTATTATGTATGTAGTGCCACAAACATTTGTTCCTGCATTTCTCAATCATTTCACATGCATGAAAAATGCAAACTTTCATGTTTTGCTACAGAAATTACAAGACTGAAGTCAAAATTGTGGAATTTTAATTTTTCTTTCTTATTTTTTCAGAAGTATGTTTTTCTGTGAAGGAATTTGGTTTCAGTGTATGAAGCGAAAGCTGTAAAAGCTGTATTTAAAGAAAAAACAAAACAAACTCTAAGGGGGATCAGTTCACAATTTAGTAGAAAATTACAAACAGTTGTGTCTTGTAAAGTTCAGCCCAGCGTCAGAAGGGAGAGTCTCATTCTACTGGCTTTCTAACATCAGAGGTTTGAATCAAAGCCGCTCTGCAGCGTTGCTGTTTGGTTGTGGCTGAACGCGGGATGGGCGGTGAAACAAAACATTCTGCAACTCTCTGCTCTTCCTGACAGAATTGGGAGCGCTGGCTTTAAGCGTTGTCCTTACATTTTCAGCAGATTTGTGGTTGGAGCCATTCTGAATGTTTGATGTATGGCTGAGATCAGTTTGGATCAAATTTTCATCTTTAGTAGAAGAATTGGAAAGTAGTCTCTCTCTTTCATTCTCACTTTGTGCAAATAATGCATTACAAGTTTAATGCACCACAACCAACGAGCCACACCTGGAATATTCTGAGGTCATAACGTTCTTTGTCTCTTGAAAGGTTTTAGGCAAAGGTAAATGTTTTTGTTGGAGTTTGAAGGGATTTCTTTCTTGTTTCATTTTTTTTCAACTGGTCTCGCCATATTCAGTTCATTTCTTTGTGTTTAGCTTCTCAGTTTATTGTTTTTTCTGTTCTTTGTGCATTTTAATTTAGTCTTCTTGGATCTGTGTTGGTCTTTTTCTTTTGGTTTGTAACTTTTTTAATCAGTTCCTTCTGTGTTAATTAGTCTCTGTCCCTCATTAGCTGCGTTTCCATTACAAACGTCAGTAAAATGTTGTCTATATTCCGCAAATGTGGAAAAAACACAATTTCACAATTGTTTCCATTAAATAAGAAATGCAATTAAAACCACTTGTGGATAAGTTTATTCAGGCGATAAGTAATTATAAAACCTGTCGCACCATCATCCTCTTCCTACTTCCTGTCTTATTCTTCATCTTTTCTGCCAGTAGTAACATTCGGCTGTTGACTCGCGATGAGAAAAAAGTGTTTCCATTGCTGTTTTCCAATTTTGAAAAATCACCTTTTCAATCAAAAAAGCTTTTCTTTCCCAAAATTGTCAAGTTTCCACTAAGCAAATTTATTTTTGTAATTCCAGTTTTTGTAACTTTATAGTTTTCCTGCTTTCCTCCTTCCACATCTTTTCCTTGTTTCCATTAATCTGGTTCCTTTGTTATTTTCTACTCCTCCCAGTGTT